TATATCTTCAAATCTCCATATGGAGTCTCCACATGTCGTAATTTCAATATCCCAAGATTTCTACATCCCCAAATCCCTATTCATCTAAATTTCCACACATTCCAAATTCTTGCACCTCCAAATTCCTACATTTCCTTACTTCTATCACCCTAAATCCCTGCATCTCCAAATCTCCATATGGAGCCTTCACATGTCCTAATCTCAATACCCCCATATTGCTACATCCCCAAATCCCTATATATCCAAATTCCCACATATCCCAAGTTCCTACATCACCAAATTCCTACATGCCCCCATTTCCATAACCTTAAATCCCTATATCTTCAAATCTCCATATGGAGTCTCCACATGTCCTAATCTCAATATCCCCATATTTCTACACCCCCAAATCCCTATACATCCAAATTCCCACACATCCCAAATCCTTGCACCTCCTAATTCGTACATTTCCCCACTTCTATCATCCTAAATCCCTGCATCCCCAAATCCACTTTTATCGCAGTCTCCATATCCCCAAATCCTCCTAACCTTAAATCACCATATACCCATATCCCAAATCACCACATACCAAAATCCCCATTTCTAAAGCCTTAAATCATAAACGTATAGCGTATAATATAAACCAATGAGAAACGGAATTCTAAATAGAGGAATAAGTAATATTCGGACAAGCGTTAAATTCGATGAAACTTTGAAAAACAACCGGTCGGTTTCGTCTGATGAAATATGAATATGACACGTGGGAAACTCGAGCGTCGTATGCAGTTTCTAAACGAGCCGCAAATGCCAGGAACTGTATCTCCGATGTAACACGGATCCAGGAATAATGTACGGTTAGTTGGCGTGAAAAATGGACGGGACAATATTAATTACTTTCAGACAAAAACTCGATCTAAGTCTGTCCAGTGTAACGCTAAGTTAATTATGCATCGTACTTTATTAAACTTGCAAATTTTCCTGAAATTTTGTCGATTGTCGAAATTTTAAAGAACTAAAATAACACTGTTGCTTTTATTCGCTGCTTCTGAATGGGGCGGGCGATTTAAATCAAGCTGACAGTACGGTGCCAAGAAAATCAACGATAAATCGGAAAATATCCTAAACAAACGATTTGTCGAAATTCGATATGAAAACCGGAGGGAAAAGGAATTTAAATTAAAACCAGGGTGCCGGATGTTACATTAGCATAACTGGGCGCCCTATCAAAAAAACGCAGTTTGCTGCTGACGCCAAGTATGTACGAAATGAGAACGACCACCTCGATCGGGTCTATTCCTAGCTGAGTTACTTTGTTTTATTTCATTTCATCTTCTTCTGAGGCTCTCGTTAGGCTCCCTTTAGGTTCTTGGGTCATCCTTAAGATAGGTCCATAAGTCCTTTTACATTTCACCTAGGGTCTTACAGTCTTATTTTTCATGTTAGTACTCAGGTGCAAATTGGATTTTCTAAATTTTCTTTAAGAGCTTGGTAATTCCACTTTGATCCTTAGGACCCTGGAATTCCCTTTTTGGAATGAACTATGTACTACATCCTATGGACCTCCCCAAGATTCTATGTCCTTAGAAACTTTGAAAGATCTCCCTAAAAGTATCAAATTTTCTATAAGAGCTTGGTAATTCCACTTTGATCCTTAGGACCCTGGAATTCCCTTTTTGGAATGAACTATGTACTACATCCTCCCCAAGATTCTATGTCCTTAGAAACTTTGAAAGATCTCCCTAAAAGTATCACTTAGCTCCTCTAGATTTTTTTAATGGAAAAACTAGACCCAACTTTCATACTTTGAATTGTGATTTCTTTCAGATCTGAGCAGTTATCTTACATAATGTTAATTTTGTATGGTATACTGATATATTTCGAGGAAAATGGAGGCTGAGTATACAGAACTGACATCTTTTTTCCAGTACATAAACTACATTATCAACATTTGGATATAAGATTTGAAACTCAAATGGTAACCTTGTGGTTAGGTTAGGTTAGGTTAGATTGAACAATATGGAACTATGTTCAAAAAGATTCAGGTGCATTATAAAAAAATGATAAAAAGTCAAATTTTGTAACTTTCATCACGCTTTATGTTTCCTAAGACAGTTTATAGCAAATTCCTATTAACATTTGATGCATTTTATTGCCGATTAAGTGCAAAAAATTGATATTTAGTAAAGTAGGTCCAAAACGGTATACGTCGCGCCTTCTAGCGGTGACAGGATGAATTACAAAATCTGAAAATTGCGATTTTGTACATAATTAACAAATTTCAAGTATTTCTGAGGCTTGTACAGTGTTTTGTAATCGAATTGTGAGCAAAATAATGTGATAAAAGTTTGCTGAAAACGCTAGAAACGAAAATAAAAAAAAGTTCATTTTATAGATAGAAAAGTGCAGCGCCATCTAGCGGCGAAACAGATGAACTAATCGAAAAAATCGTATCTCCGAATACGTGTATCCGGAAATTATAAAAGGACATATTTCATGACTTTCTGAACATATTCTTTTTCCTGAGACATTCTAGAGTAAGCTATTATTAATACTTGAAGCATATTATTGCCTCTTAAGTCCAGAAAATCAATATTTTCGAAAGGGTATTATTTCAAATTTGGCGCCAACCTTTCACTGCTGGGCGGCCGGCATGTTTTTAGTTCATGGCATGCGATATTCTTTATTTTCGTTTCTGACGCTTTGAGAAAGTTTTTATAACATTATTTTAATCCGAAAGAGATCGCACAGCAATATTTTAGCCTCAAAAATTGACAAAATGCGCTAATTTTGCAGAAAGTCGCAATTCTATGATTTTGTAGTTGCTCCGTTCACCGCTAGATGACAACGCGTTCCAGTTTCGTGGAAATTCAATTAACACTCATTTTATTGCCTTTATTTACTATAATATGCATGAAATTACATTCGAGTGCAAGTCTAATTAACTGCGAATTATTTTGACTGTATCAAACCATTATCAATTTTAAATAATTTTTAGGTTAATTTTTCCGTGTCACGTGCTGCCATCTAGCGGCAACAGGTGGGAACTAATTAAACTACAGTTTCAAAAGTGTGTAGTTCACCCTGTTCGCCGGAGAGATGGCGCCACATGTTCGATTTTTGAAAAAATGCAATTTACATCGATTTTAATGATTAATACGCTATATATTTATTACATATTCATTAATATTGATTTTAGAATGTTTATAATATATTCCGTGGGTCCAAACATGCGGATTATGTTTTTAGTACAATTCGTATAATATAGTGTGTTTCGTCGGTGATATAGAAAACAACATAATAATTCCAAAACGTATTTTCTTTACATACTCCATCAAAAATATTATAATTTACGATAGATAGCACAAAATTGCACTTTTCATATATTATCGATTTGCGCAATAAATAAAATAAATATTAAATTTCAAAATATGACTGAGAACAAATATTAAAAAATTTTCAATCTTCAAACGACGCAAACTTCAATGATTAAACTTAATTTTTCCATTATTTTTTTTTTCATATAACATTCTGCAGATATTTTAAATGTCCCGCCATCACTCTCATAATTATGGTTTACGACGTCTGCCCGCTTCGAAACTCGAAACAACCGGCTCGATAACATTATATTTAACCTTGTTTCGTTTGAAATTTTTCTCTTTAAACCAATCAACCTCCTTTTTTATTTAATGTTCTTATTCCTCTGTGCTTACATTTATACCACAACTGTTTCAGTATTCTTATTTTCCAGCATACTCGCAATTTTGTGACCGAAAGGAATCATTGTCGTCTTCTTTCGTTTGAGTCACTAAATTTCTTTTTATTACTTTCAAATAAATTATAGCAACCTTATTGTCCCTAATGCATGCTCCTGAAAGACACTTATATGTGGATTCAGTTCTTTTAACAAGTTAACTAATAACAATTATAATTTACTTATTTTAAAATAAATTTTGAAAGACTCTTGCCCATGTTCATAAATGAATCATTTCTAAAAAATTCAAACTGTGTTAAATTGTTTATATTAAATTATTTATATCGTTCTCTCCATTTGTGTATTTAGACTATCGAGTCAGATGAGGTTGGATGAAGCAAAGAATTCCGTAATTTAAAAATTTTTGGGGTAATCGTTTCAGCGCGAAACGAAAGTAACGCTTTCTTCAGATGTTTTCGAAACAGGTTACTAAACGACGGACTGCAAAAGGCGGGGAAAGGCAAAGAAAGAGACACGTAGCGGACAAGGGAGAAAGAGAGGGAGAACGCACGCAATGGGGGTTTATGTAACTCGGGCATTAGTGACTGTGACGTCACGACGCCGCGACGCGATGCAACGGTCGCACGCGGTCGATAGTGCAGTCAACTACTGCATTATACGCAGTCGACCCTACAGATCTATCAGTTACACGTAGTTGAAATCACCAGCCGTCCGAAACACGGGACATCTAAATCACCGTGACATGTCCTAGAAATTCTGCGGTAAAATCGTTGGGCTAACTGCAATGGTAACAGCGATTAAACAAAATTGTGGCGGATGTTAACAGAACAGGTGGTAGTCGGTCGAGAGAAGAGTATAATCTTGCCGGTGACCGTGAAGTAGAGCACGTGATTGTCTCGGTAAACCCAAAACAGGATCGTTTAGTTACATAATCCGCATACACGTATTTTGATCCTACCCCGCTTACGTAATCTTCTATTTCACCCTAACCTCTAAGAAGGCTCCTCCTAAAGTTCCCACAGAATCATCCTGGCGGCAGCCAAGGAAGAAAAGAGAGAGGGGACAGCGTCTCCGGGAACGCAAAAGATGATCCACGAACCTAGCCTAACCAAGAACTAGTGGAGAGTATCTAACTGATGGATCTCCCGTCAATTAGGCCGGCGAAACAAAACGAGCTGGCGAGGAAGGAGGAAACACGATGAGAATGTATCAATCAGCGCAATTTAATGCGTGAGAGGCAACAGTACAGAGGGACAGAGACAGGCGGTAGGAAATAAAGACGATAGCGAACGAGAGAGACGATGGTGGAATGAATGCAGCGACAAAGAGGCCACCAGATCAAGAGAGAAGAAGAGAGGCGGCCAGGAGAGGAGAAAGACAAAAGCAGACGCGGAATCCGTGGGATCAAGGGAGGGACCGAAGGAATAGAGGCAACGCTGCGGATGGACAGGGACGGAAAACAAGGGGACGATATTAATGGAACGAGATAGAGATTGCAGGGGTATACAGGGTGTCTGATGCAAATGGGACGGCATTAGGCCTGTAACTTTTAAATGGCGGGAATATGTTTGGAACTTTTCGATTTTGGGACTGTTTTAGGACGTTGGGGTATTGGGACGTGGGGGTATTGGGACGTGGGGGTATTGGGACGTGGGGGTATTGGGACGTGGGGGTATTGGGACGTGGGGGTATTGGGACGTGGGGGTATTGGGACGTGGGGGTATTGGGACGTGGGGGTATTGGGACGTGGGGGTATTGGGACGTGGGGGTATTGGGACGTGGGGGTATTGGGACGTGGGGGTATTGGGACGTGGGGGTATTGGGACGTGGGGGTATTGGGACGTGGGGGTATTGGGACGTGGGGGTATTGGGACGTGGGGGTATTGGGACGTGGGGGTATTGGGACGTGGGGGTATTGGGACGTGGGGGTATTGGGACGTGGGGGTATTGGGACGTGGGGGTATTGGGACGTGGGGGTATTGGGACGTGGGGGTATTGGGACGTGGGGGTATTGGGACGTGGGGGTATTGGGACGCAGAGGTATTGGGACGTGGGGATACAGGGACGTGGGGATACTGGGACGTGGGGATACTGGGACGTGGGGATACTGGGACGTGGGGGTATTGGGACGTGAGGATACTGGGACCTAAGGCTATTGGGACACAGGGATATTGGGACCCAGGGGTATTGGGACGCAAGGGTATTAGGACGCAGGGGTATTGGGACGCAGAGGTAAGGGTTATTGGGACGCAAGGGTATTAGGACGCAGGGGTATTGGGACGTGAGGATACTGGGACCTAAGGCTATTGGGACACAGGGATATTGGGACCCAGGGTTATTGGGACGCAAGGGTATTAGGACGCAGGGGTATTGGGACGCAGAGGTATTGGCACGTAGGGGTATTGGGACACAGGAATATAGGAACGTGAGAATACTGGGACGTAAGGGAATTGGGACACAGGGATATTGGGACGCAGGGACATTGGAACGCAAGGGTATTAGCACGCAAGGGTATTGCGACGCAGAGGTATTGGGACGCAGAGGTATTGGGACGCAGGAGTATTGAGACGCAGAGGTATTGGGACGTGGGGATACTGGGACGTAGGGCTATTGGGACGTAGGGATATTGGGACGCAGGGATATTGGGACGCAAGGGTATTAGGACGCAGGGGTATTGGGACGCAGAGGTATTGGGACGTGGGGATACTGGGACGGAGGGCTATTGGGACGCAGGGATATTGGGACGCAGGGGTATTGAGACGCAGAGGTATTGGGATGCAGAGGTATTGGGACGTGGGGATACCGGGACATGGGGGGATACTGGGACGTAAGGGTATTGGGACACAGGGATATTGGGACGCAGGGATATTGGGACGCAGGGATATTGGGACGCAAGGGTATTAGCACACAAGGGCATTGGGATGCAGGAGTATTGGGTCGCAGAGGTATTGGGACGCAGGGATATTGAAACGCAAGGGTATTAGGACGCAGGGGTATTGGGACGTAGGTGTATCGAAACGTAGGAACGCAGAGATACTTATACTTTGATATATTGGGATGTGCGGTACTAGAACGCCGGTATATTGGGACATAAGGATACCGATACGTAGGGACATCAAGACATAGATGTATTAGGACATAACAACTTTGAGATATAGAGTCTTGCAGGGCCAGGGACTATAGAACATACCGAATTGAAGACACAGTGACTTCGTGACGCAGGGAGTGTGGGGCATAATTACTTTGGGACGTAGAGACTTCTTATAAGGACTTCGATCATTTCGCCCTTAAAACCGTTACCATCGCACCTATACTTCCCATCCTCCGCCATTTAACTCCACCAGCCCATTCGAGACACCGTATACATGCAGAATCTGTGAGACCAAGATCAAAAGAACGAACAAAGACAGAGCTATGCTCAGAGGATAAAGAAGATCAGTGAGGGAGCGTTAGCGCTGCAAATGCAAAATTTGCTCGATCAAGATGGAAAGAGAGGAAAGATAGAGCAGAAAATAGAATGAATATAGGAAACTAACAGCCCGTGGTAAGGAAACGAGGGAGAGAGAAGGAGAGAAGACTAGAGGCCTTGAACTGCCGTGGCGGTCGGCATTGCAACTTTCCGCTCTATAGGCCTCTCCCTCGCTCTCCTCTTTCATTTCTCTCTTCAAAGCGTCTCTCCCTCGCCTGGATAAGCTCGCGAGCCATCTTTCTTGCATCGACGATTCAAACACGCTGCTCTCTTTCCCTGAACGTCTACTCCATCGGTAATAATTATTTATCTCATTCGTTACGAGCCGTCGTTGAGGCAGGAAGTCTTCATCGATTCACGTTTTGCCTCTGCAGCAATTAGCGGGGGCATTTTTCATTTTGCATAATCGATAACCAGTTCCTAGACAAGACTAATAGTTTAGATTGGCTTGAAGTGTGCCAGGACATCTATGGACATTTCTAGGTTAATTGAGAATGTTGTTAGATCTGTTCTTTTGTTTACTGGCCAGGAAACAAACATGGTGGCAGCACTATTTCTAAGATTCACAAATTTTTAAGTTGATAAACATGACATAAATATATGAACATTTAGAAACCTTTGTCAAGTATTTTGACTTTGGCAATATAACGAGAGTGCATTGGTCTAGTTCTAGTTTTGGATGTTTATGTAAAATATATTTGCAAGTGCATTCATTTTGAAACACTCTGTATTCAGAAGAATTTCATGAAGCATAAACATTAACAAATTTAGAAACCTTTGTCAAGAATTTTGACTCTGGCAATATAACGAGAGTGCATTGGTCTAGTTTCAGTTTTGGATGTTTATGTAAAATATATTTGCAAGTGCATTCATTTTGAAACACTGTATTCAGAAGATTTTGACGAAACATAAACATTAACGAATTTAGAAACCTTTGTCAAGTATTTTGACTATGGCAATATAACGAGAGTGCATTGGTCTAGTTCTAGTTTTGGATGTTTATGTAAAATGTATTTGCAAGTGTCTTGAAACACCCTGTATGAAGATTGTTACAAAACAAACATATAAAAATTTAGAAACTTGTCAACACTTTTGACTATGGCAATATAACGAGAGTGCACTAGTTCCACCTTTGGATGTTTATGTAAAATATATTTGCAAGAGTTATGAGACAACCTGTATAAAGATTGTTACAAAACAAACATATAAAAATTTAGAACCTTGTCAACACTTTCGACTATGGCAATATAACGAGAGTGCACTAGTTCCAGCTTTGGATGTTTATGCAAAATATATTTGCAAGAGTTTTGAGACACCCTGTATAAAGATTGTTACAAAACAAACATATAAAAATTTAGAAACTTGTCAACACTTTTGACTATGGCAATATAACGAGAGTGCACTAGTTCTACCTTGGATGTTTATACAAAATATATTTGCAAATGTCTTGTGACATCCTGTGTAAAGATTGTTACAAAACAAACATATAAAAATTTAGAACCTTGTCAACACTTTTGACTATGGCAATATAACAAGAGTGCACTAGTTCTACTTTTGGATGCTTATGTAAAATATATTTGCAAGTGTTTTGAAACACCCTGTATAAAGATTGTCACAATACAAACATTTAAAAATTTAGAAACTTGTCAACACTTTTGACTATGGCAATATAACGAGAGTGCACTAGTTCTTCCTTTGGATGTTTATACAAAATATATTTGCAAGTGTTTTGAAACACGCTGTATGAAGATTTTCACGAAACATAAACAAGCAATTCGATCGGTGGCCGTTAAGCAGGTCCAACAAGTATAGACAAATATCTATATCGCTGATTGCGCGCGCGCGCATGCGTGTGCAGAAAACGTGCGTGCGCGCGTGCGCACGGACGAAGCCATCAGAGAAATCTGGCACCTTGAACTTTTATCACGTGCACGAATAGCCACGATAATACGAGGCGGGGATTGTTGTTTGCATAAGCTCGAGCGCGTAATCGAATACCAGGAAACAATGCTGCGCGAGCGAAAAATCGTGTTTCTGAGTCAACGATCGGGGCACCTCGGGTTTCTTGTACTCGGTTTCTCTCGAATACGCGGACAGAAATAATCCGACCGACATTGGATACTTTTTTTCCTCTCTTTGCGAGACGTCGATCGCGGACATATAATCTCTCTTAAGATATTTTTTTTCAAATATTTCGCAGCTGCTAAGTTGCTGAGAATGTGATACGCGTTTTGATGCGTAACCTAGAATTTTCCGAAAGACCCTCAGATCAGACATGTAAAGTGCGCCACTGTCTGCAGAAAAATACAAAAACATCGTCTGTTACGTTTGTGGGACACGAGTTCAGTGTACAGCGAGGCTGGATCAACAGCCAGAATTCATTAACACTCGTCCGGCTGAACAAAGAATGAGTCAAAGTGAAAACACGAGTCTGCGCGAGAGGATTTTCAGTGTTTTATTACATACACGCGTTGCAACGATTATTACGATCGGTTTCTATTGTTGGCCCGTTATCAGGAACATTTGCCAAAGGCTGGCCCATAATCATCCCACCCCGGGGTATCTCACGATACCGGCTAATCAAAGTGAGTCAGATAGCCTCTGTCTACGACGGAATATTTCAAGTTCAACGGCGAGATGGAATTAGAATAACCGTGGTAACAAAACCCGGCCGAATAGAGACGCGCGATTATTAACCCTTCGTGCTGATGACGCGGATGACATTTTAACAACGGCATTCGGGTGGGCGTATTTGGGAAATTTCTATTTGCATCGAACTTAGGTAATCTTGTTTTGGGGTATTCTTGTATTATTATGTCCTTCTGGTGTTCGTATAGATACTCCTTAGGATTCTGTTAGGATCCACATAGATCCTCCTTAGTGTCCTTCTGGTATCCAGATGGAGCCTCCTTAGGATTCTGTTAGGATCCACATAGATCCACTTTATTGTTCTCATGGCATTCACATAAATACTCTTTAGGAGGCTATTAGGATTGGCATAGGTCCTCCTTAGTGTCCTCCTAGTATCCAGATGGATCTTCCTTAGGATTCTATTAGGATCCACATAGGTCCTCCTTAGTGATCCCATAGTATCCACATGGATCCTCCTTAGGATTCTGTTAGGATCCACATAGATCCTCCTTAGTGTCCTTCTAGTATCCAGACGGATCCTCCTTAGGATTCGATTAAGATCCACACAGGTCCACCTTAGTGTTCTCATAGTATCCACATGGATCCTCCTAAGTGCCCTCCTAGTATCCACATGGATCCTCCTTAGTGCCCTCCTAGTATCCACATGGATCCTCGTTAGTGCCTTCCTAGTATCCACATGGATCCTCCTTAGTCCCTTCCTAGTATCCACATGGATCCTCCTTAGTGCCCTCCTAGTATCCACCTGAATCCTCCTTAGTGTTCTCATAGTATCCACCTGAATCCTCCTTAGTGTTCTCATAGTATCCACATGGATCCTCGTTAGCGCCCTCCTAGTATCCATATGGATCCTCGTTAGTGCCCTCCTAGTATCCACATGGATCCTCCTTAGTGCCCTCCTAGTATCCACCTGAATCCTCCTAAGTGCCCTCCTAGTATCCATATGGATCCTCCTTAGTGTCCTACTATCCACATAGATCCTCCTTAGTGTCCTACTATCCACACAGATCCTCCTTAGTGTCCTAGTATCACACTCCTCCTCAGATTATGTCAGATTCACAACCTAACCCCTTTAGGATTCTCCCAGGATCCCCTTATGTCTTCCTATTTTTTCTAAGACTTCATTACAGTTATAGTTTCCTCGACCCCCAGTATTATTTTCAGTCCTTTCCAAGGCTATCCTCAGATGTTCCATAGGCTACAGTCTCTAAGGAGACCCGTAACTGAATGTATTAGTTAATCAAGGAATTACGCAAGGGTATCCACGTCCAACAGACCGAGGTTAAAAGTTCAATTCTGCGGAATATTTCAAGTTCAACAACAAGTTGCCGGAGTTCGTTGTGGAAGTAATCGGTTGGCCATGTGGCAAAGCTCGCACGGGAAGGGGCAAAGCGATGGCGGACGATCGGTTTCACCCTTAATCGGTCAGTTGCACGCACGCAATCCGCAACCTTCCACCCGTTTATTTTCGTTCGATCGACCTCTTTCCTCGTCCGCTCGAGCGCCC